CTGCGGGGGGAACTGTGCAAAAAACGCATCCTCGTACCGGCAGCCGGTACGCTTTCGACTAGGTTTGTTTCGGCATTATTTTGAGCTATGATAATTTGTACGAATTTGAGCAATGCGCATAGCGGACGTGCAGATGAAACAGGTTCCTCGATAATATTGAAGAAATTTGAAGGAGAAGTTGACAGCCTTTCTTCAAATGCGTTAATAACTTGTTTGGTTGTTTTGTTTTTCCTCATACTGATGCTGAAGGGACGGGGACGAGAATGGTATTAAAAATAAAGTAAAAGCTTGAAATAAATATACTGCAGCCTTTCGGGACGTGATATGATTGGCATAGCATCAACTGGATCCGGAAAAACACTGACATTTGCTTTACCGTTGGTGATGTTTTGCTTGGAGCAGGAAGTATCATTACCATTTAAACATGGTGAAGGTCCCTATGGACTAATCATTGTACCATCTGTGAGTTTTTGGCCGCTTCTTCTGATACTCTGGATGAGCTGTTGCCGTTTTTTATTGATTAGTTCCATCGTTTTTTCACTTTATCTTTTACGTAAAATTTAGTTTCCTATTTTTTCCAACATTGATGTGACTGAAGCAACATTGCTGACGGTACAACGTCCCCTAAACTTCGATTGGGTTTTTGCTGCATCTGCTTATGTTTAGGCTGTTATTTTCTTTTTTTTTGTAGAGATACTCATTTCTCATTTGCCGTTCGAGTGTTTAGTCTTTCTCTCTCTTCCCTTCCCCCTGCATTAATTTTAACTTTCTTTTTTTTTACAGCGAGAGTTGGCGAAACAAATCCATGACGTTATCGCAAAACTGTTTGAGAACATTGCTGACGGTACGACGTTCCCTAAGCTTCGAGTGGGTTTGTGCATTGGTGGATTACCAATAAGCGAACAAGCAAGAATCTTTGAGAGGTATGAAATAATTTTACTAATTAAAGTAATTTTAAAATAATTTTACTAATTTCTTGATTTTTATTTCGAAATTTCCTCTTTCCTTCTTATTTCAATGTACATTTTTATCATATCTTACTTTGAACGCTGTTTCACTTCTCAGCTCAGATTTTTCCTTTCCTGGCTAGTTTGTATTGGTATTTGAGTAAGCACGGCTTCTGCTTATGGGGGCTTGAGAAACTGCGCACTTGAGCGGCTCGTAGTCAATCACGCATGTTGCCAGACCTTGCAGTTGTAACTAGAAGTCGATAATAAGTGGAAGCCTGCGGCTATATCAGATGGGCTAGTTGGTAGGAATCGAAAAATTACTGCGTAAATCTCAAATAATACCGCTCTTTGGCGTCCTTCATATCACACCGGAGTCGGAGTGTTTAAAATAAAATGGAAAGAAAGGGCCATAGAAACCCAGCCATATTGGTCGTTCCAAGTAGGATCGACGGTTAGGTCGAAGTTGTGAAGTGGTAGTTTGCGGCTGTAGGTAGGCGGAAGCATGCCTTATAAAGTAAAGGAATGTACAAACCTAAAGAAATTCAGCACGGCTGAATTCCACATGTTTTAAGGCTGGAAGAATAGAATTTCATATTGAAAAGTGGTAGGAAAGATAGGTTCAAAATGCGCTACATCCTGCTGATGTGCGATCGCTAGATTACTGCAGATTTTGTCTCAGCAAGCAGCATATCTTGTATTTCACATTCATACTAAAATTGAAGAACCAGAGTTATATGCAACTGTGATTTTTCCGGTTGTTTTGTCCAATAATGCACCGCTTATTGGTCACTTTATTGGTAATCCTGTTATTTTGTTTTATTTTCTAAAGGGCTAGCAATTCAACTTTACTTATCGCAAAAACATTCTGTTAGGCTTCAACGGTTTTTTGTCTCGAATATTTTTGCTTTGTGTTGAGTCTCGCCGTGTCGCGTCCATAACATCGCCACAATCATATCGACTGGAGGATTTTGTAGCAGATAAATGGTTGAGCTTTTCTGTCTTTTAGAGAATATTTTGCAGAGGTGTGCATGTATGTGTTGCTACTCCCGGTCGTTTATCTGATTTATTGAGCAAGAAAATTTTTAATTTGCAAGTCTGTCGATATCTGGTTCTCGATGAAGCTGATCGAATGCTGGATATGGGCTTCGAAGAAGAAATACGAACTATATTTTCATTTTTCAAGGTACTTCACCTCTTACCAATTATTTCTGGACACCCTTCCGCAGCTGCCGATTGACAGCCGTGGCAGCAAGCAATGCGCAGCTCAGGATAGAAAGTTCTAGCATATACCTATTCCGGTCTGCAAAAGTATACATCGTTAACTTGGGATTCGTACGTCGGTTGCCCGGATGTTTGGCTGAAGCCATCTTTAAAAATATTGCATTGGGATTTAGGCATGAACCAAATATCTTCTAAGGATAAATTAAAACATTCGGGCGGCCCAATCGATTGTGCGGGAGTCAACTACAAGTAATGTTACCGTAGAAGACAATTGCTTTCCGAAAAGCATTCAACAAATTTTTATTTGTTGCTTTAGGGGCAGCGACAAACGCTGCTTTTTTCGGCGACTATGCCACGAAAGATACAAAATTTTGCTCGTTCGGCACTGGTCCGTGCAGTGATTGTAAATGTTGGACGTGCGGGAGCTGCTTCGCTAAATGTTACTCAAGAAATTGAATATGTTAGAACGGATGAAAAGTTGACAAGGATACTGGATTGTTTGCAAAAAACGGCTCCAAGGCAAGGTTTTTTTCTTCTGCAGTCCGCTGTTTTTTTTTTTTT